CTCCCATTATGTGCTTCGCACATGGGAGTCAAAAAGTACATTTCAAAAAATGCATTTTTCAGACTAATTATCATGAAAAATGAGGATGGATGATCAAGTGTTAATTACAAATTTATCACTAATCTTAACATTTAGCTTTGTGATAAAGCTAAAAAAAAATAAAAAAAAATCAGTCTGGATTAAATTATAGATAAAATCACATACAAAAATGACTCAGGAATCTGCCAAAAATATGAGTAATGAAATGTAATGGTTCCATATTCCTCACCTTATCAAGTTCTCTTTTAACCATACCAGGTTTAAATTGGTCTTTAGGGTTGCTGAAATGTATTGCATCTATTGCCACTACCTCTGTATAAATCCTACCCCAAGAATCCCTGCCAATAAACAGACACACGCAATTGTGACAACCAAGATGTATTACAAAGTCAGAATTTTGTGAACTGTGATATTTATACAAAACACAGATATTGGAAAATGAAATGATTATCATTAACGGTCATACAAGGCCAATTATGCAGTGACAATATATACCAATAATTGTTATATAGGCCATTGCACTTGTTTTGCATACACACATGGCACAGTGACTGGTTGGCAAGAACCGGTCATTCGCACTCAAAGATAAAATAATGATGTTGTTTGCTGCTGTCATAGATTTTCAGAAGGCTTTTGACAGTCAGGCTAGGGAGTCATTATGGCAACTTATGAAACATATGGAATTGCAGACAAGTACATCAGACTCATCATTAACACATACACAAAAATGCAGGTCAGGTATTACACGGAGTTTCACATAAATTTAAAGTTAAAACTGTTTTTTTTTCTTGTTACTGATTGATTGGATCATGAAGACAACAACAGTAGTGAAGAAGAATGGAATACAGTGGAGACTTGTAGAGCGACTCGTAGAGCGACTCGAAGATTTGGATTTTGTCGATGATTTAGCATTGTTACATACCCACAAGCAAATGCAGGAGAAAATATCAAGCTTAGAGGAAGAAGCTATAAAAATTGGACTGCACATCAATGTAAACAAGACAAAGGTGATGAAAGTAAATTCACCAGTGCAATCACACTAAGAAGTGGAGTAATAGAAGAATTATTATACATAATTTACATACATGAATCTATGCATCATTGTGGACATAGAAGCAGGGACAGAGCAAGACATTAGAAACCAGATTGGAAATGCAAGGACAGCATTCAATTTCCTTTTTTGTAAGTTTGGAGGTCAAGTGAGATAATGTAGATGTATTAATTAATTAATTAATTTTAATTTTCGCTGATAAGTAAAATCCGCTACGGTAAATTAAATTTACGTAAATATGTGTCAAATAACAATAAAACTCACTGACAAATTCGTGAAATTAAAACAGAGGCAATATACTCAAAATAGTGAAATTAATTGTCAGTGAAAATATATGGTTTTACAGTAGCCGCAAAAACAAAGATCAAGGTTTTCAATACAAATGTATAATCAGTTTTGTTATGTGGCTCAGAAATATGGAAGCTTTTGCTTAAGAATAATTTGCTTGGTAATATGGTGGCTGAACCTATTACTGTAAAATCTGTATTAGAAACCACGGCTTCTATTAAAATGGTACAATGCAACAGAGGGGATGCGGCTTCTATTAGAGCATCTACACATATGAGAAATGATGAATTTTTGGTTCTCAATTATTCAAAAAGAATGGGTGCGACTTCTATTAGGGATGCGGCTTCTAATACAGATTGGGTACCCGGTAGTAACAAAGAGCTATAAGAGAACAATATACTATGGAAAGAGCCAAGAAACATCACTAGGAAGGCATTGCAATGGAATCCACAAGGGAAGAGAAATAGAGAAAACCCAAGAAACACCTGGCATAGAACATGGGAACAGGAAATGAAGAAGATGGGGCACAACTGTCACACCATCACAAGACTAGCCCAGAGCAGGACAGAGTGGAAGGATACTGTCTGTGGTCCATCGGCCATTTTTGATCCGATCATAAAGTTACTTGACGAGCATATGTAAGACATTATGTATTGTCTTCATGTAAAGTTTGAATAAAATCCGTCAATGGGCCTCCGAGATATAGCTCTGGACGTAATACGGACAGACGGAACGAACTTAAATTAATAGTCCCCGTTTTCGGAGTTCGTCCGAATGGGCACTAATAACCAACACGGTACCAGTAGTTCTAAATTGACTGAATCTGTTGCTACAAGCTGAAAAAATAATCAAAAAATAGCTGTAATAGCTTTTTTTTTTAACCATTTTACCACCAGTTCCCTCTTTTTATCACAAATTCACAAAATAGTCCTGTTTGATATATGGGACTAATAGCACCGTATACAACATGTGTAAAATACGTTGGTTGTTTACATGAAATTCAAACATGCACTGCATGATGACCACCGGCCTTTAGGACAGTCCAGCAAACTGTTGAAAGAAAACCACAGGTTTTTTCTTTAACGTCATCATAACAAGTTACGAAATTTATAGAATGCAAGAGGCTGGTTGATATGTCACTCTACTCCTATCGCTCAAAACTGG